GGGACCCTAACAATGATATCTGTAGTTCAAATAGTTCAAATAAATGAACTAGAAGCCAGAGTACAAAAAGGTTAATACTTTATTAGAATGACAATTTTCCACAAAATAATAATTTATTAAAATAATAACCGGGTTGACAGAAATGTTCCTAAAAAAAGTATGTAAATACAAAACTGAAATAAAGTAAACCAACTTAAATTAAACTATTAGATTACATTGTATAAAACCAATGATGAATATGATACCCAAGATAAGGCAAATCAACCCTGAATCATAGACTGGATAACACACCACATGGGAGGAAACAGAAACCCAAAATTATTCAAAACCACTCAAACCATACCTGAAACACAAACCAAATCACACAAACCAAAAATAAGACCTCCCATACCGTGGTACACCAATCAATAAAACAAAATTCACAACAAAATTAATATCATAAAATCACAAAAGTTATAACATGAAAACCCAATAAACTAAATATAAAGCAAACAACACAACTAACAAATAAATCTCAAATTTTAGTGGGAAAGAAACGGTGGCCGCTAAATCCGAGAGAGGATTTAAAACCTTCCAACATTGCGCTATGACTCACTTTGATGACTGGATGTAACAGTCTCACTAAAGGCAGAAGTGGGTTGCAATGCAGTATATTCTGCACAAATGGACACTCGCAACTCAGCCGAGTATGAACACAAGAGCGAACATTAGGTAGCTGAAACCCCGCAGAGTTGCACGCACACCGCATTTTCGGATCAACAGGTTATCAGCACGGAAATAATAACTAAATTGTCGAGAGCAGTAATCACACACACGAGCAGTTCTTCCAACGCGCCAATACAGGAGAACAAACCACACACACACTCATTCATCGAGCGGAGAACGAGAACAAACGCCATTTCATTGAAGCCCGCGAGACTTTAAACGTCACCTGTCCTATCGCGTCACCTACCCCTTAAAAGCATAGCAAGCTCATTCCGGTTACACAGGTTTTAATAAAAAGTCATAATAAGCATGTTTCCAGTACGCGCCTCAGGCTTGCACAGTATCGTCAACTCACTCATTAGAATCTTCGGTAATCCTCGGCAAACTTCGCCACGGCTAATTCGGTTCTTGTTGAGTCCTCGGTAATCCTCGGCAAACTTCGACAGTTGGTTGAACCGGCACAGTCGGTTCTTTTTGAGTTGGACGTGCTTCTTCGGCCGTGCGTGCTGCGTCATCAACCCGGAACTAAAGTTCGATTCAGTTCGATTTGTGAACCGGCTCAACCGGTTACTTCCTGAGAACCGGCTCAAAAGAACGATTCGTTCAAGAACCGAACATCACTATTAGATCAGTGGTTGTAATACACCTGTTCTACTCCCGGAAGTGGTGGTGACGAGGTTTTTCCACACTCAAGTGTTGACGCCTGGTAAGAAATCTGTGAGAAAAATCTTGTCGAGCTTGAAAAGTTAATCTGTGACTATAATAGCTACACCTCATCCTTTGCGAACAAAACAAAGATACTCAGCCTTGGTAGAAGCAAGATCTCTCAAACGGATCTTGTTATTTCTCACAGTGTTTTTGATCGGTGAATCTGCTGTTTCAGGTATGTCTTGCGGTTCGGGAATCATTCCAGATGAATTAATGTTTAATGAGTTCAAAAGACAATGCTTGTCCACGGAGAATTGGCTCAGTAAGTATGATAAAAATGACATGGAGGTTTGGGTCGAGGTGGCCCCTTTATCTACTTCTACAAGCAACAAAGGGAACTTCTCCAAAGTGCACAAAATCAAGGTAAGATGTCTGCCTGCATCTAATTATTTATGATGTCGTGTGTATATTGTTTGATTTGTGTGGTCTTTAAATTTATGGTGTCGAGATTACCTTATAAAATAACTTAAACCAGTAGTTTTCAGACTTTACAGACCCAGGGACCCCAACCCAGAATGGATTTTTTAAAAATAAATTTTAGTAGGAACATTAACATTACCACATCATAAAATATTTAATAGGTCATTGGCTAGACATGATTCAATAGTAGTTATGAAAATTTAAGGGTGTGGGTGTGTGTTTAATATTATTAATTTATTTTACAGATCTTTTCTATGGACTCCACAATCTCTTTTTTCTCTCTAAAACATGTCCGTTTAATTGACATGTTTAGTCCTGTGTGTACTGCTGCCATAACAACACTAATGCAAATGCATTGTTTCCATTACAGTGTAGGATGAACATAAAGGATGTATCGGCTGCCAGCATGTATGACGTGCTTCATGACGGCATGTACCGGAAGACGTGGGACCCTACAATGCTTGAGAGTTTTGACATTGCTCGTCTGGCTCCTAATGCTGATGTGGGCTACTATTCATGTGAGTCATGTCATCTTTAAAATCTCAGTTAGTGAGTTATTTCTTATCTTATGGCCATTATAGTGGTTCTTTTGGGATTTTGTTAGTCTCAGTGGTAGTCACCTATCACATTTTGAAAAGACTTCAGCACAGTGGCTTATTGCAGTGCAATAAGAGCTGAAGAAAAGCCTCCTGGGACCATGTTTTTGTGTGTATTTATAGTGAACATTATTGTCAGTTTTGTTCCTCTTTTTGTGTTGTGGGTGTTTATGGGCCTGCAGGTCATATAAATTTATATATTTTTTATCCTTTATTCACAGGGATCTGCCCGAAGCCATTGAAGAACAGAGATGTGGTGACCCTGCGCTCATGGCAGGCATCTGAAAATGAATATGTGATCATTAACTTCTCAGTGAAACATCCGGTACGTCTTTTATTTACTTACACCTTCTGTTATCATATGTTTTGTTACATGCATCAATTTTGAACAAGTTTGCATCTATCTCCTCACATTAGTGTAGGAGAAAATGTTTTAACACCAAATATTATGCTCATTAAATAATTATAATCTATTAATACACGCATTTAAAAATGATACGTATCTTTTAATAAACTCTTGCTATCATTTTAGAAATTTCCCCCACGGAAGGATCTGGTAAGGGCCGTTTCCCTTCTGACGGGTTACCTGATCCAACCAACGGGGCCCAACAGCTGCATTTTCACGTACCTCTCACAAGCTGATCCCAGAGGTATGAACAGATTTCCTGCTTCATTTGAAATGTTCCCCCATCATTTAATTACATTGTAAGACTTTAATTTGTTGCTGTTTTGTAATTATTTTTTTATTTTTTAGGGTCTCTTCCGAAGTGGGTTGTCAACAAAGCATCTCAGGTGCTGGCTCCAAAAGTAAGTAAACCTATTTCGTCTCTTACTATTGTTTCTGTGCATCTGAGGATGCGAGTGTCTTTCTATGTGGGCCTGTGTTTAAGACTTGTGAAATCACAATTGTTACTATGGTAACCTACTGGAAGATCTTGTACTGAAGACGCTCACGCAGCACTTGCTGTGCCAATAGTGAAACTTGTTTATCTTGTTCTGTCTGTAGCAGTGGCATTTTACACTTGCTAGAAACACCTTTAATAACTCTGCACCCCACACTGAGTGTTCAGATTGTTATCTAAAGATAACTGATGTAGATGTTCTTCTGATTATGAACAGGAACTCAGTCTTCCATTGCATTGTGGCTTTTTTTTTGTCCATTTCATAGTCTTGTGAATTATTACTGCATGTGGTAGGGCTGTTTGCCGTGTTCCCAGACAGTATCTCTGTCCAAAGGGCACTGATAAGATGGACTGTACATCATGCTTAGTGTTTATAAACTATTATTGAACACTGAGGTGTTTGTCTTTCCTTTGACCATTGATCAGGTATTAAGGTTTTATAATTTTATAAGATTTTAGTCTCACGCTCATCAAGGTAGCATTTATCCGATCAAATATGCAGTAAAAAAGTAATACTGTGAAATATTACAATTTAAAATCCTTTGACAAAGCTGAATTTTCAGCATCATTACTGCAGTCTTCAGTGTCACATGATTCTTCAGAAATTAGTCTAATATGCTGATTTGCTGCTCAAGAAGCATCTCATTATTCTAAATGTTGAAAACAGTTGTGCTGCTTAATATTTTTGTGGAAACCATGATACTACCATGTTTCAGGTGTAAAAGGAGGAGGAGGGTGATCTATTTGTGGATTAAGTGGATTGTTTCTTGTCTGGTTATACTGTTATTAAAACACAAATCAGGCCCATTAACTTTAGTTTAGAAGTCAGACTTTATAGGCAGTATTTCACACAATGATACTTTGTGCTGCCAAAAATGCTGGAGACCCAGACAGAAACTAGAAACAGAATGCATTAATAGCTATGCTTGAGCAAAAAGACTTGCTGCAATTTGAGTCGCTGCACAGCTTGAAAATGAAGTAAAACTGGATTGCATTTCATTGTCTTGGTTACACAAGAACGAAAAAATTATCAAAGTTCAGTGTCGCTTCCGCTGATACTAGTGCCGCTCCCTTATTCTCCTCTGTCATTCCACAGGTCTTAAGAAGCGTCCATAAAGCCGGTCAGCACTACCCTGCGTGGAAAGCAGCAAATTCTCCAGATCATAAGCCGTGGCTGTATCCCATACAGAGTGAACTGCCCATGATGGATCCAGCAGAGCTGTCCATCCAGCGCGGAGACTCACTCGAGAACGTGGATGAGAGCTCAACCAGGGATGCTCAAGAGAATGAGGACAGCAGCTAAAACATCCAAACGGACAGTTTTTAACTGGGTCAGTCCAGTTACCTCTCACCCCACTTATAGCTTACTGATAGCAACATTCCTCCTTTCCGCTCACAAGTGTTTACAATCACTGGTGCACAGATCTGCACATTCCATTACCCATGTCTGAGTTTCTTTCGGCATTGTATGTGCGAACAAAAGAAAATACTTTGCGGTTCTGCTTCTTAATTTAATTTAAAAACCCTTTTGAAGGTGGTTCATTATCTTAAATGAGACCTTTTTTTTGCATCTTTAATTTATTACTAAATGATTTTGGTAAGGCTACATGCTATTGAATAGGTTTTTTTTGTATTTCTTTATAAATATAGTTAAACATGTGTAATCTTTGTTTTAAGTCACCACGGTAGGGGAGAGATTCCTCTCAATGTCATCCTTTTGTGTCTGTGTATTTATATCTGTGTGCCTTTTCAAAGGGGTGTGTCTGTAATGGTATGAGTGAAAATGATTGACACCAAGTAACCATGGGAGAAAACCTGCGTTGAAAGGCCCTGTAATATGACCAAAGCAGTCCAAGACACAATGTGGTATTACCTCAAGGTTTATTACTTGAAGTGGTATTAGTTCATTTGCCTGTAACAGGCAGAAGAAAACAGAAGGCAGAGGAATGTAATGAGAGCTTTTCTGTACTTCTGTTATGTATGTGCCCTTGAACATGAAAGAAAATGACATTAGCAATAACATGATACCAGTGGATCAAAGTTACTCATATTTTTGGTTTTCTTTCTGAGGGAGGATGGATATGTAAATTTGTGTTTGATAACTTGAATTTGATGTATATGAAGTCCTAACTCAATGAAGGGTAATATGGTTTTATACTTTTAAAATTGTAAATAAATTGTTCAAAATGCCTTTGAAAACTCTTCTTTTTTTCTAATAATAAGATTGTGGCATCTTTTAGTGTGGTTACTAATGGCACTGCACCATACTAGTTTACATGATCATGGTTTAATACCCAGCATTTGCATATAAACAACCATCTGTTCCACTGAGCTCCAATAACACCAGAAAAGCTACGTTTGAATTTTGTGTAATGAAATGATGTAATTCAATAAACTGGTTCAATGTCAAAGGAATATTTCCCCCCCAAAAAATGAATATTTGCTGAAAATGTACTTACCCTCTGCCCATCCAAGAAGTTTGTTTCCTCATCAAAACAGATTGGGAGAAAGTTAGCATTACTTGGCTTACTCACCAACGGACCCTCTGCAGTGAATGGGTGCCGTCAGAATGAGAGTCCAAACTGACTGAAACATTAATAGTCCATGAGTAACCGACAAGACTCCAGTCCATCTATTAAAATCTTAAGTGAAAAGCTGTGTGTTTGTAAGAAACAAATCCAGAATAAAGACATTTTTGGATTTTGATGTGAGAGGACAGCAGACTGGAGGAAGCACAATTAAGGATTTTGTATATAGTTTGGCAACAAGCAACGGTTTGAAGTTACGTTTTAATGATGGATTTATTTCTTACAAATGGGCAGTTTTTCACTTTACAAGACATTAATTGATGGAGTGGAGTTGTGTGGATTATTGTGATGTTTTTATCAGCTGTTTGGACTTTGGACCTCATTCTGACGGCACCCATTTACTGCAGAGGATCCGTTGGTGAGCAAGTGATGTAATGCTAACCTAACCAAATCTGTTCTGATGAAGAAACAAACTCATCCACATCTTGGATGGCTTGAGCGTCAGTAAATTTTCATTTTTTGGTGAACTATTCCTTAAATAGTACCTAGTATTTATAGTACCACTAGTTAATACGGTATATTAACAAAGCCACACTACCTGACATCATAAATGTAAATGTAACAAGATCTGAGAATATAATATTCCCTTCTTACATTTTCCCCTACCCACTGAGACTTTTTTCATCATACAGGTTTACACAAAAAGTACTTTTTCATGAGCAGATTGATTTAATGACAACTAATTAGTCAGTAGCAATGTGTCTGTTAGCAGGACATTAATCATTAAACAACTAAATGCTTTGCTTTGGAATACAAAATTGAAATGTCCTAGAAAGACCTAGTTATGAAAATAATATATGATATATTAAACATAATTTCAGCTTCATTAAACAAATGCCTCTAAGTGAAGATATTAATAGCACATCATCATTTATTCATGATGTAACTGCCTATAGTCATTTCATTCAATAAATAACACATCTGCCATGTTTTCTTTTCATATGCATGACATATCTCATAGAATATGCTAATTGTCCTAGAGGAAAGAAAATGATGAGAAAACAGAGAAGAGGGGAAAGTATCTGAACATTTCACCAGCTGCATTCAAAACTGGCACAGCTCAAAACCACCACTATGGGTGAAGGAGCATGTCGTGAAGTGTTTGAAGATGATTTCTTTGAGCAGTCTCTTAGTCAGAGAAGATAGTTAGTGGGAGGAAGATGATGCAGGGCAGCTGAACGTTTCGCTGACACACCAACGCCCCATCAGCTGCATCACTGAACCAGTTCAGTCATGAAGGTCAGCTCTGCCACCTAGTGTACAGTCCTCTCTTTCTGCCGCTGGTAGTCTAGAAAAACAGACACAACACACATTTATGTCAGGTACTCCAACTGAATCAGTTGACTGAAATGTCACATTCGTTTTGCTTAATTAAGCAAAACACTTCATATTCAGTAATATTATCAGATTATTAGATACTATTGGATGAGAATAACACTTGAAATGAGCTGGACTACAGTCTCAAGGGAAAGATGAATATAATACTCACTGTAAGGGAAGTACCGAACATTCATCAAAATCTCTCTTGCAGTCTTTAGAATCTCAACAGCCTAGGAGAGAAATCAAGATCATACCAATTCTGTTTAGAAGATGAGATATCCAGCGTGTTTCTGTCTTTCAGACTGACACATCAGATCTTACCTTTGAATGCTCAACGTCTTGAAAGTCCACGTCATTGACAGAAAGCACCTGATCGCCCTCTTGCAGTCCTGCCCTATGGGCATCTGAATCTGGCACCACCTGTCAAAACATTTTGAGCAAAAACATGATGAAGTCAATTCTTTAGCTGAAACATAAACGAAGAAGGTTTTAATTGGCAAAACTGACCTTTGAAATAAATATACCAAGCTGGGAGGCCTTTCCTCCACGGATATTAAAGCCCAGTTGTGCACCGGGCGGCTTTTTTAACACTATAGTGCGAGGTAGAAACTGAGTGAGCTCATTGTTGTAGTCAGGGTGATGTATCCTCTGATTATAAGAAAGAAAACTTTTAATTAGGCCAATATGATTACAAAAGATGTGTTGAATAACTGTCCAATAACTGTCACCTCTTGTGTAGGGATCCATGCAGGAGGGCTCTCATAGGAAGGAAGAAACACTACTGGCAGTTGATAATCATCGTATGGAATCTTTTGGTCCATGTTTTTCGAGCTAGACATGAGGGTGCGAGAAAACGTAAACAGTGAATTTATGATAACAATCGTCTTCGATATATTTTAAGTGTAAGGTTTCTTTTCTACTTTTAAAGACTAAACTAGGTTCCTTACAAAACTGTGACTATACTGATGGCTAAAGCATGAAATTACCAAAGATTTATAATCAAAGGGATGTAAATTAACTCTCTACGGTTCTCGTTGTACAGTGAGTACAGCAAGCTAGCTTGCTAACACTCAACAGTAAACACAAGATGCGCTGCACAATGAGCTTTAGGCATGCAAATTACCAAAACGCTGCGCGAATGAACTTACGATACAAACATTCTCATACTAAAATGAAAGACAAGCAAAATATACAGCTGTTTTTGCTCGACAGTTTTGTTTTCGTCTGTCAACTCACCAAGAACTCCTCGAGCGAACCATTAGCCCCGCCCTCCTATAGATCATGTGACCAGCACTTTTTTCTTTCCTTTTTTCCTCAACAAAAACTATGGAGAGGTAAAGAAAATATTGATATTGGGACAGTTTCACGCATAGTATCCAAAAACCTTTCAAACTGTAAATGTGGCCTGTCGGTCACTTCCCTGACAAGTCTCCTTCCTGTCCCGTTGCCCAATTTCAAGAGCATCCTAAGATCATAGGGTTAGCTATGTTTCTTTCCATTTAATAAAAAATACTTGAAGGATATGTTCAGTATTGTTTTTTTTTGTAGGCAAGACTTTTAGGTATGTGCCTAATCAGAAATTGGCTTCAAATATTAACGTACTCTGAAAAAAAGTACAAAAAAATAAATAAAATAAAAATAAAACCCTGTCATCAAACCCTAGTCTCTCCTGTTGTCCCCTAGTCTGGACTGTTTTAGTAGAAACAGAAGCAGTGGCTTCAGTTCATTAGCTGTAAATGTACTGTAGAAATGAGAAATAATTAACTAGGTGACACTGGCAATCACCCAATACTTCAACTGAAAATATCCTACACCTGTTTTTTTTTTTCTCACTCTACCTCTTCTTGGAAAGACTTGAATGTCACATTTTAATAAAACATTACATTAAGAAATATACAATGTCTTGTTATACTTTGAAAGTCCATGCTTATTAGAAAAAGAAAAACCCAATCTAATAAGTCTATTAAGTATTCACATTCTATAAATATAGATTATTTGTAAAACCACAAAATGAGAACAGCATAAAAAACATTAGCATTACATTTTGTTTACATTACTGGCCTTAAGAGCTATATGGAAACTCTTCCACACAGATTATTACCTGTAAATTAGTATAAACTATATTGCATTTTTAAAATTTTTAATTCAATTTAAATTTATATAAATGCCCTTTTTGTCTTTTTTTTAATTACTTCAGATTTTGTATTTGCTCCTTAGGCTATACATGTTTATGCATTCATTACTATATGTTTATGCAAATGTAAATAAAGGAGGGAAAAAGCCAAGCACGTGGGCAGAGATTTTATCATGCAGATCTTATTATATAATTTTTTTTTTATAAATGATAAATTATTATATGTCTTATCAGTCACATATATATTATTAAATTAAGACATAGCTTCTTA